CTCTCTCTCTCTCTCTCTCCCTCTCTCTCTCAGTCTCTCTGTCTTTCTCTCCCCTCTCTCTCTCTTTCTCTCTCCCCCTCTTCTCTCTCTCTCTCCCCCCTCTCTCCCTCTCTCTTTCTCTTTCCCTCTCTCTCTCTATCACTCTCTCTCCCTCTCTCCCCCTCTCTACCTTTCTCTTTCTCTCTTTCGCAAGCTGGGTATGCATGCCTCCCGGCTATCAACCCCTTTAAGGCTTTGTTTGCAGACACCTCCACCACCCCTCTCTTTTTTTCACACACAAACACACTCATACACACACACACACACACACACACACACACACACACACACACACACACACACATACACACACACATACACACACAAACAGAACTGTTGCTTCTCCAAGAAGGAAAATTCGGCTGGAATCAAGTTAGTCAAACGAACCCAGTTGGCAGGGAGCACTCATGGGTATCCTGACTCGACTAACAGAACCAACTATCCGTTAACTAAAAAGAGGAAAGTTAGCCCAGCTTTTTAAGACTAAATACTAAGTCAAACGAAGAGAAAGTAAAGACGTGAACAGGCACAAAATAAATCAAGGGACACAATCAACTCACTCTGGAAACTCGGGCAGGAAGAAAGGGGGCTGGAGGATGCCTGCAGGAACCACAATCACGTTGAACTCTGGCTGATAGTAGGCGTTGACGGTAGACGGCAGCATGTTCCATCTACAGTGGGAACAAAAAAGTTATTAATGGGTTGGTTTCTAGTTTGTTCATTTGTAGGTTGATTTTTGTTCTGTTTATGTGTTTTTTTAAATACATGTGTAAAACTGTGTTAATTTCTTTTATGGAAAAGACCATGGAAGGAGGGGAACGGAGAGGGATGCAAACAGCCAGTTAAAAAAAAATGTTTTTTAAAGAACAAGCGACAGGCGATAGCTAAAAATGGAAAATGTTACATAAGAAAAACAATAATAACAACTACATTTATTATGCACAGACAGACAGACAGACAGACAGACAGACAGACAGACAGACAGACAGACAGACAGACAGACAGACAGACAGACAGACAGAAAGAGAGAGAAAGGATTAAACTTGGAAGTATAAAAACATAGTGGAGGGAAGAGAGTTGAACGACGGGATGAGGGATGCGAAGAGCTGAAAAGATTCTACCCCAGAAAATGACACCCATCAGGATACATGTACTTACTCTGTGCGATCTGGCTCCTTGCCATACTTGCTCAACTCTCGGTCTCTGATAGCTCTGATTGAGTTAATCTTGTTTTCCAACAGTTCTCCCTCTTTCACAGTCACCTAAACACAGAGAGAACGTTGACTGATTATCAGTGATTATAAAGTACAGCAATATTAATCACACAGGGTAAACGATCAAGGGGAAGACCACATGGAATCTGAAGAGGAGTTACAGAAATCGATGTACAAAAAAGCGGGAAGACAAGAAATAAGATCAAGAGGCTAGCCCAGGATAGGGAAAGGTGGAAAGTGTTTGTTCATTGCCTATACCCTGACACAGGGTGAGAAAGGCAATAATGATGATGATGATATGATAAATAAAGACATCCGAGAATATGATACATAGTGGGAAAAGACAAATATCGGAGTATATCAGCAGATGGGATTTAAAGCCAGGTCAAAGTTAATCTAAACCAAGATTGTATCACAGGATGAGATTCACAGTCAGGTAGACATGAATAGAGATTATGTCACAGATTGAGATGCAGTCAGGTAAACATTAGTGAAGGTATCAGAGAATCCCATTAACGGACAACTGAACACAGAAATGTGTATTGAGCATTTTCTTTTTTGGTGTGTAAGTTTAGCACAGACCCAACTCAAATAAGGAATTTCATTGGCAGAACTTCTGCCTTGGTGTGAAGATTTTAAAAGAAAAAAAGAAAAGAACAAAGACAGAAAAAAATGTAGAATTAATAGGTTAAAGAAAACACACACACACACACACACACACACACACA